AAAAAAAAAAAAAAAAAGAAAAGAAAAAAAAAGGAGGCAGGGGGTTGGGGTGGGGATTGCCTCCAAACCATCCCATTGGAGATCAGGAGGAAAATAGAAGGATCCCAAACTTCCTGGCTCAGCATCCCCATGGAAAGTATCCTCCCACCATCCCACTAATCCTTGTCAGCATCAAATAGTGGGGCTGAGGAGGGAAGGCCCCTCAGCTGTGCCTGAGCCTGGACTTTGGGCCTCACTTGAACATCTGCTTAAGGGGATTCCAGAACTTTCCCCAAAGAAAATGGCCCAGCTCACTTGCTCAGCCTTTCCCGGGTCCTGGCCATCTCTCTGACGGCAGAGAGGCAGGGGAGAATAGGGGGCCATATAGGGTCCTTTTGGGGCTCAGTGGCACTGGCTGGGGACAATCTGTGGGATTCTACCCACCCACAGCCCCGCCACTCTGGATGCACAAACAGGGAGAAACCACCTTCACAGACCCTCAGCCACTATCCCCACCTGATAAGGGTGGTTCCGGCAGGCCCGGGTCACTGGTCTGGAGGCCTGAACCAGGAGTTGGGCTGGAGGAGCCCCTCCCCTTTCCTTTGACTGGCCAACCACTGAGCCAGAGGCAGGACAGTGGAATCAACTGTACAAAGCCAGACCTAGGGGTCGCTGTGAGGCCAGCCGAATCTGAGCTCCAAGGGGCTTGCATGGGGCTCAGGTTGGGGAGGGAGTGCAAGGAAGTCCCATGTAGGGACCCGGGGAGTTGGAGCAGGTCATTGGCACAACCGGGCAGAGCTGGGCAGTGGCAGTTGGTCAAGACCTTGTGATTGGAAAGCCTGGACCCTCCGCATCCCCAGCTAGGACCTGGGCCTCTGGGTGCACCCATGGATGGGTAGGGCACCCCAGTATAGTGCAGGAGTGGTTTTGGAGGGAGGAAGGGGACTCTGGTGGGGAGGAGAGAAAGGCCCTGAGAACTTGGTGTGTGCTGGAGGAGGGAGAGTTGGCAAAAATGTGATTTTGGACTAACTTGACTTTTAGGCAGGTTTCAAGGCCTGATGAAAAGTTTACTTGCTGGTTGTTCTTTGGTGGGGTGGGGGGATTAGTTTTCTAAATAGGAGGGAATTGTTACCCCAGGTCTGTAAAAGATCATGTCCCTTTTTTTCTCCCCTGCCCTCAGTGATGTTTAGCATCCACCAAGCTCCCTACCCACCCCTGTATATTTACAAGAGAATGAAAGTAAACAAACCAAACAGCATCCCCATTTACAATTTTCTTTAGTCCAAAAGAATTCTCCACAGATTTTGAGGCTCCGCCTCCCTGGGTCCCAGAAGAAGAGGATGCAGCTGGTGGGAAACTGCCCCTCTCCTGGAAGCCATCATGGGGACCCGCCTTTGGCGCCAAGGACCCAGCGGGTGTCAGAGACCAGTGTCAGGGATGCAGTGGCAGCCCCAAGGCCTCTTCCTCTGCCTTTCAAAATGGCCATTCCTTCCTGTGCAGACTTGGGGGGGGGGGCGGCAGGCGTGCAGGGCAACAACTTCGTGCTGGGGCTTGGTGGCCTGACCTGGCCCAGGCCCCGACCCCGGCTCTGCCCTCCGGCCTGATGCGTGCCTCCTGATTTATGAGTCTTGTTAAATACCCATTAGACTTTGCACCTTTCTCCAGCAGGACCCAGGAAGCCACCACCGCGGCGACAGACAGTGAGGCAAGAGTCAAACATTCCCCAGCAGATGGCCGAGAAGCCCGGAGGAGCGCGGGACTGCGCCCAGTTGCCCTTGGGTTCAAGCCAAGAAGAGAGCCTAGCTGCCCTGGAGGGACCAGAGTGAGGCCAGCGGGAGGCGACGCCAAGAGACCCCAGGAACATCCCTGGAGGAAAACGTCCCGAAGCGAGGGACCAGGGACTCTGGATGGTTGGAAGCTCTCCAGGCAGGGCCCGTCACCCGGCAAAGCAGAGCAGGTGCCTAGGCGGAGAGGGGGCTTGGTTCCCTGGACTGCGGCGGGCGGGAGAAGAGGGGCCCGGGAGCGCCGGGCCCCGGGAACCAGCAGGAGTTTCCCACCATGGCAGGGTAGAAAAATGGACCGCAGCCCCCAAGCCTGGAGTGCCGCGATGTCGCAGTCCCCGAGTGTAGGAGGAAGTGAATTACATGCGCGTGCACACACGTAAATATTTTATAAACCTCCCCTTAATTAACCAAATCATTTCCATTATGCCTCCAATGTGATCAACAGCGACGGCGTGAGGGTTTCCAGGGTTTATAATTTGATGTCACCAGACGGTTGCTCGGGGGCAGAGGTACCGTCGCCGCGCCAGCTGCACGCGTATTTATTTGTTTTTCTACCGCGTTCCTGTAGGGCCCCATTATGCAGCTTTTAATTAGCTTGTGTGTGTAGTTCACCGGTCCCGAATCAGTGCCATCCCGGAGCAAGGCGGTGTACATCCTCGCAGTACAGGTGTAGCTGCCCGCCCCGGAACGCTAGGAAACGCGTGTCTGCCTCAGGAATGCGGGGCCGCCACGCAGCCCGCGGCGGCTCTCCGCAGCCAAGAGGCGCAGATCAAAGCCGGCGGGGACTTCGGCGGCTCCCCCGTGAGCACCGCGGTGGCTGCGGGTCCTCAGGCCCTCAGAGGGAGACGGGCGAGCTCGGCTTGGGGGACCAAGTGAGTTTCCGGCCTTGCCCAAGTCCTGAGGTCCTTGCTGCGGCGGCGGCGCGGACCTCTGGCGCGCGTCCCGCTCCGGGCCTGGTGCGCGGGCCGGTCGCGCGCGGAGAACCGAGCTGCGGAGCAGAGCGCCGTGGCTTCCTGCCGGTCCGAAGAGTCCTGTCACCGGACCCAGGGCGCACAGCCCGGATCTCCGGAATCTCCGGGCAGGAGAGCCCCCCACCCCGGCCCTTGCGCTGGCTGTCTCTTCCTTCTTGAAATGACCTCTGTGGAGCGCCTGTAAATCTATCCCTCCAGCCACGGGGGAATTCTTTTAAAGCTTTCTTTTTGGTCAGGAATAAGAGATTGTTCATCTTTAACTAGACCACATAGAAATTATGATTCAACAACAGTGTGCATTTAATTAGAGTAATCTCACTCGAATTTAATTACTTAATGAATTATTTGTTTAAAAGGTACAACGTCTTGTTTGCCAAGTGCGGCGCAGACCTCTGATAAGAACTTCTGTTCTAAGGACATTATGGCTTAAAAGCAGTCATGTGCTAAGGTTTGCATTTTAACTCCTTGAGTGTGGAACCGTTAACTGTTGAGGTACTAGTCCAAGGAAATCTCTGACATTTACGGGTGCAGAGAAGGTGCACAGAGGTTCCGTTCTGTTGTGTGCACAGGTCCCTTTGGAAATTAGCATCCTCCAACTTTTGTCGTGTAAGTCTATTTTTAAACTTACTGCATTCCGCTTTTGGTAGGCAGTCTCCTTTTTTCTGGTGCAAGATGACAGCTGTCTACCAGAGGACTCATTTTATTAGTATTTGCAGCGAAGCGGCACAGCCTTCAGGAAAACTCCTGCCTTGCTCCTCTGGGTCCCTGAGGCATCCACAGTAGTGGCAGGAAGATTTTCTGGGCTTATCGATCTTCCTCTTCCGGGATTGGAAGCTACGAAGGCCCATTCTTTGACCTTAACCCTTCGTTCCTAAACTGTGGAAGAATTCCACTTCCTCTTGTTTTCCAAAAGCAAGCCATGCCATCCTTTCCGGGAGGCTCTGAAGTTGACTTGTCTCCGGGTGATGTTAAGGATTGACGGAGGCAGCTAATGCAAGGTTCATAACCAGGGGCCATGGAGGAGGGTGACCTGCTGGGATTCTGACACGATTTCTGTGTCTTCTGTGGTTAGGTTGCTGTAGAAGCAGACAGTTTCTTTTCCTCCGCTAACCTGCATGACGGACAGAACCTTCTATCCTGGCATGATAGAATTTTAACAGAAAATGCCTGTATTGGGTGAGGGTGGGTGCGGGAAGCCTTTCCCCCATCAGTGAGAGAAAATAGAAACTAGGAACACCTTAAACCCAGCGGACTCAATTCCACTGTCATTTTCATTAATATTTCATTAATCAAATAAGTTACCTTAATGCACATTTGGGCATTAATGCACTATGGCCACATAAATATTAAATATTGTGAGTATAGTATCCACCTAAAGAAGGAATGAGCTTCTAAGAGAAGTACGACGTGTTGATAAGAGTGATTAGCTCTTTGTTTCTTTTCAGAATCCCGGATGTTTATGGCAGCCCTGCGTCTTGTCCTGCAATCAGAGTTCTTATGGTGGTTGAGTTATCGAGTAAACTTAATCCCATTCAGTTATGGCTACAGGAGCCCCTTTCTTCCAAAGAATCAGATCAATGCATATTTTACACTATTTATGAATTTACTTCACATATTCTACCGAGTAACAACGGACAGTAACAACCAGAAAGGACATGAGATAATAACTCAGGAATGAGAATACATTTCTCAGATCTGAGCAAATCCAAAGACGATTTGCTAGTAAAACCCTCAAAGGGAATGATATGTGTGGGATGGAAAAAGGTGAAACACTAAACGGCATATTTGTGTTTGACTCCTGGAGAACTGTTTGAACTTTCGACCAGATAGGATTCTACCTCCCATGACTTCCTAGCAGCCCTCATCACTTATATTATAAAAGATTCAATCTACCTACTGGAAATAACTTTTAGAAATAGCAGTTGGGAAATACCCACCCACACAGCTTCCTGGGCAGAAAGTGTGGTGCATTCCGGCTTTCACAGACTGTGTGCCCCACAAGTCACTGGCGTGTAGGTTAAAATCGGCCCATTGAAGGGACATCTGTGCAACAAACACGCCCAACACAGGACGCTTTGGGAGCTCAGGGGAAGGTTTCTCTAGGTTTGGAAGATATTTTGGTCTAGCAGCATTTTCCAGGACCATTCTTGTGGAAAAACAAAATCCAGGTATGAAATGGGCCTAAGGGGGAAGCGGGGGGGACTTGAAATGTTACTAGACTCAGGTTCCCTCGTCTGCTCACACTACTGTCCCCAAGACTGTCTCCAGAGCTGCGGGATCTGGGGTTCTTGACTGGGGTTAGACCAGCTACATCCCTCGTTTCCCGTGCACGGAAGACTAGGTAGAGCGGCCTCAGGCCTTCTGGCCCGCACTCTTGCGCCATCTCTGAGTGTGTGTAGATGTTTGTATGTGTACCAGGAGGTGGTCGGGGGGCGTGCAGGCTCCCCTCTCACTTCCAGAGGCTACTTTGACCCAAAGAACATGACACTTAGGACCAAGTTCAGGACGTGTCTTTTCTCCAACCTCCGAGTTCCTGTAGGGGCCGTCCTCTAGCCCCCGGTTCCAGAGCCCCTCCTGATGACTTCATGCTGGTGAAAGCTCTGAAGACACACCCTCCGTGCCGCTCGCCAGTGTTCTGTGTCTCCCTCTCCCCTCTAGCCCCACACAGCCTGGCTGGCCTCTAGTCTCCTGGGAGTGAGCTCAGGGATTGGCAGGCTAACCATAGCTCCCAGTTCGACGCAGGGTGGTTGGTAACTGACAGTGGTAGGTGAACTTATGTCGGGTACAGCTGTGCTCGAAGAATACCACCGACAGGGTGATTTCAACAAGGGAGATGCATGTTCTCATGCTTCTGGAGGCTGGGAGTCCAGGGGCCAGGTGTCTGCAGGGTTGTGTTGTCCAAGTCCTCTCTGGTTGGCATGCAGATCTTTTCTCAGCGCCCACACTCCCAGTGTCTCTCCAGCTCCAGCCTCTCCTTCCAAGGACACCAGTCAGGTTGGATGTGAGGCCACCTGCCTCCCTCCTTCCCCATCCTTCCTCCCTCCCTCTCATTCTCCCTCTTCCTCCCTTCCTCCCTCCCATCTTCCCTCCTTCCTCCCTCTCTCCTTCCTTCCTTCCTTTCTTCATTCCTTCGTTCCTTCCTTCTTTTTCCCCTCTTTTATTTTTCCATTTATTCCCTACTTAGCAAACATTTGTCGGGGACCATGTAAAAAGTGGACGATTTCTCGTGCTATGGGTGAAGGAAAGACAAACCAGACCGTTGTCTAAATATCTAAAGTCCATGCATAAGGTCAGTGAGGCAGGCGAAGCTCGCTAACACCTAGTCTGCACCCGAGGCAGCAATGGAGTGAAGAGGGTTTGCCAACTACATACTTTTGCCCCCTCCGCTTCCCCCCTTCCCTCCCCCGTCATGCTGGGCCCTGCAGACCCCATTTCTGCTTTGAGCCATTGCCCGTGCGCTTTCTCTCCATTAGACCATGCAACAGGGTGCGGGGAGGGGGTGAGCTGCAGGACAGTTGGGGGGCTGCCCCTTCCTTCTCCTGCAGGTCCCCTCCCTCCCCTCGCCTTCTGTGACCTCAGCTTTGCCTGGGGCCGATGCTCCCGAGCGCGCAGCAGGGTTGCAGGCTCTCCCAGAGCCAGGCCTCCATGTTCCCTGGATGGCCAGCCGCAGCCTCTCAGCATCCCTGCCTGAGTTCGGCTCCGTTTTGCAGTTTCCGTTCTTCTGTACGGGCAGTTGCCGCCTGGGTCTGCCTCTGAGGCTTCTCAGCCAGCTGATGGGCATGCTGTCCCCGTCCTCATTTGCAAGCGCTGCGACCCAGACTAGCCAGCTTAAACAAGAGAAACTTATCGTCACCTGTCCTGGGGGTTGGAAGCCCAAGGTGGAGGTGTTGGTAGGGCTGGTTCCTGCGGAGCTAGAAGGAAAACTTGCCCTGGGCCTCTCTCCTACCTTCCAGAACGTTCTGGCAATGCCCGCCCTTCCTTGGCTTGTGGAGGCATCACCCCAGGCTCTGCCTCCGTCTTCACAGGACCTTCTCAACGGGAGTTTATCTGTGTCCCAAAACTCCCTTTTCTCTGCACGGACACAGGTATATTGGGTCAAGGCCCACACACTCCAGTAAGACTCATCTTAGTAGCCGCATCTGCAACAACCCTGCTTCCACCCGGGTCACGTTCTGAGGCAACTGGGCTAGGACCTCGGTGTGTGGATCTTGGGACAGACACAGTTCAACCCATAATGATGCTTGATTAAAAATTCTTTATCTTGGGGCACCTGGGTGGCTCAGTGCATTAAAGCCTCTGCCATTGGCTCAGGTCATGATCTCAGGGTCCTGGGATCAAGCCCCACATCAGGCTCCCTGCTCAGCGGGGAGCCTGCTTCCCCCTCTCTCTGCCTGTCTCTCTGCCTACTTGTGATCTCTCTCCTTCTCTGTTAAATAAATAAATAAATAAATAATTCTTTATCTTGACCCTTCTGTCCAAAAAGCCCTGTAGTTCCCACTCATGCACTGGGCCGGGACTGACATAAGGGGCCCAGATTTTGGATCAACCGAAGAAAGGGCCCAGTGGCCTGTCACTTGAACTGGACTTTGAAAGGTGACTTAGATGGGGAGAGGTCAAGAGGATGAGCAAAGTCTGTCCCTGTGCTGGCAGGACAGGGCTCTGAAAGCACGCCGGGGAGGTGGGTGGTCCCGGGGAGACGGAAGGACACAGAGGAGCAGAGTGGGCCGCACCCAGGGGCGGGGAGTGCCGACTTCGCTCTCTGGGCAAGGAGGGGATGCTACAGGTCTCCGAGCGGGGGCAGATCAGGTGTGTCCATGGAATGTCAAGAGAGATCTGGGTCAGAGCTACAGGAAGACGTCACAGAAGTGGAGGGGACTGTGTGAGCCCACCGAGGTCCCAGAGGGAGGGAGGGAGAGGGGCCTGCAGGCTATCAGCATGTGCCGGACCTCTAAGTCCTTCCAGGCACCAGCAGAGCCCCGCTGTGCGAGCACAAGGGAGAGACCAGCGTCCAGTCTCCTGCAGGGACTCTGCTCAGAATCACCTGGGGCAGGTGACAGGGTGCCCCATGGGGGAAACCTGGGGCAGGTAAGAGGTGGCCCTGTGGGGGGACTCGGGGCCCTGGCTCCTTGTCCACTAGGCAGAAAGCTCTGCTTCCCTTGTTGACATCTGTGCTTACGGATGAGATTTTATTTGAACAAAGGTTTTTCCTTCACTTTGACCCTGAAGAACCACAGAAGCACATGACTGTCAGGGTTCGGATTCTGTTGTCTTCAGGTGGTTTGATGAGACATAAACCTCCAGTTGTGAAAAGCGGCTTACGATCACATCGTTCTCTGCTCAGATCCGATGGGTTTTCTAGCCACATCCGGAGTGTACAGTCATGTGTCTTATGACAGAGTGTGTGAGTATATGCCCAATTCTCAGCGGTGTATTAGGTGTTCAATTAAGCAGAAATCTGGAATGACGGGAATGTTGGGGGAAAGAATGCTTTTGGATAAAGGTACTTGCTGTTATTATTATTAATACGGATGAAAACAAGTCACTTGCAAGCCTTCCTTTGACTTCGACTCATGCAGGCCATAGCTCAAAGGTTGAGTCAGTGGTTTCATCTTGAGAGAAAGACAAACCCAGCGGTTATAAAGCAGAAAAACAATCCTGCATCCCATCAGGAACCTCCTGACTGACGTGTGAAGGAGGAGTAGTTCACCCTCACGGGGTGGGGTGGGGGGAAATGGTGCTTCCCAGTGGACGGTTTTCTTTTAACCCCGGGATCATGAGCTATGCAAACAGTATCGGTGATTATCACCCACCACACAGCACATTCAGGGTGAGCTGGGAGGTGCTATCTGTGCCCCACAGCATCTTCTCTTAGGAGTCAACTTTCTCGTGCTCCCACCTGTTAACTCGGTTTTATGTGTTCAGAGAAAGGGGTGAACGGGCTTCAACCCCGGCTCCCTCAAGAGCTGACTAGTGGAGAGTCCGAGGTCTGGTGCTCTGGGCAGCTCCTGCCTGACTCCATCATGTCACTGTGTAACCAGGTTATAAAAGAAGGTCCGCGGACACCCCGGGTGGAGGCTCCCTCCCTCAGGAGGGGTTAGCCTTCTCAGAAGACGCGTGATTTGGCCGCATGGTGTGTCTGTGTAAATCCACCTGTCCCTGCCTGGGGAGCGCGGGGCCACACACAGATGAAAGCCTCTGCTTGTCACCTCGCCCTGCCTTCCGTTGGAATATCGCGTGGCCATAACACCTACTTGTTGCAAGGATGCGGTCGGCTTTCTGTAAATTTGTCCCTCACCTGGAAGTACCTGCTCTGCTTTGTCATCAAGTCAACCATTTGAGGAGAAATCACCTCTTCAGAACTTGGTGTCTCCCACCCGAAATGCAAATCTGTGAAAGTGTCCCAAAGCTTTATGAGAAAAAATGTGGATCTCCTGCCCTCCCGCACCCCCTCCCCCGCCCACCTTCTTCAGTCCGTATACCTCTGAGTGTGGTTCCTCCTCCTCCTCCACCACCATTCTTCTGGGAAGGAGAATGGTTTGAATTCCTCCTTTTCATGGCTGCCCACACCCAGGGACCGTGACCTGTCACCCGCATTTCGGGAAAGCCTCTCAGATCCAGCCTCACCGCTCTCAAGGCCAAGGTCTTCTTCGATAGCCAGCCTGCATGGTTGCAGGCTATGTGTCATCCGTGTCCCTCATTCTTTTATTCCAGGATGCGTGGAGTTGTGCCAGCCTCCTCGGATCTGTTTTCTCCCCTGCCAAGATGTCCTCTGCTCCCCTCATCTGCGGAAGCCCATCTCCATAGCACGTCACTTGTTCGATTTCGTGGCTGAAATGCTCCTGCTCAAGCTGGAGAGGGTTGAGCGGCTCCAGTCTCTTGCCCTCGTTTCCTAGAGAAGTCCATGTGAATGCGGCCTGCCGTTTCCTTAGAAGGCAGAGAACTCACTACGTGAAATATTGGATTTGGCCTTGGTCTGGGTTCGTCATTAGTACTCATCAGTGCTTCTACGTTTCAACCTCCGCCTGAGCCCAGAACTGTCTCTTCACTCCCAAACCCATCTTTCATTCCTGGTTTTAAAATCCAGCTGGAAAACCCACATATAAACCTAGAATTCTAAAACTCTGAAGCTCTTGGAAAATGTCTTAAAATGTGTGGACCTTGCCTAGAAATCTTTTGATTCATTAGGTATGGGGCTGGGTCCAACTTAGGAATTTGAAGTAAGTACGGAGGTAACTGGGGCTTAGTTGGTTGAAAAAACACATTTCATAAAAAGGAGTCCTAGATCTACACCCGGTTTGACTTTTTAAACCCAACAAACTTCACTGTGCTCTCTGCAGACCCCAAATCTGACTCACTCTGACACCCCCCTTCACTGATACCGCCCCTGCGTAAGGGCCTCCTCCTTCTCCGTTCACTCCGTCTCTGTCTTCTTTGCCCACCTGCTAACCTCCCTGCTCTCATGGGCTCACCCCAGTAGGCATCCTCCGTGGAACACCTCCCTCACACCCTGGCTTTTTCCTGTGGGCCCCCCACATCTGTATCAAATCCAAACCTCAGCCGTGAGCTACAGACCCAAATATCCATCTACATGTGACCCTTCTCCACCGGAAGCTACAGATACGCCAAGTGGCTCTTAGTGCCCCTGGGACTCCGTGAAGCGGCCGGACTCCGGCCACCCGGCCTCTGCCTCTGTCAGCTGTCCGCCTTCACTTCTGTCCTGTTCAACATCCATAGGTCCAGTGATGGTGTGTGGAACACGCGTGATTCTCCTGTCTCCAGGGCAGCTCCGTGATGCTACATTAGATGAGGAACAGGAAAGGTGGTTGAGTTCCTGTCCTCAGGGAGGTGCCAGTGACGTGTGACTTTGCAGAGGTCCCGCTGCACCTCTCCTTCTGCCCGGGCTCCGCTAGTGAGGACTCCATACACTGCCCCCCCGCGTGTGGGCACACTCAGGGCCTTTTGGGCTCTCAGATTCCATCTTCTCCAGGATCCAGGTTGGACAAGAAATTGCGTGGTGACCCTACCCACCGGCAGTGTTCCACGTCCGCATGGTCAGCTGACTGGATTGTGGGCACGGCTTCCTAAAAGACCTCCTGCCTTCAGTCTGGTTGCATTTTGATGTCTCCCGTTCTGCTGCCAGTGACCTTCTGCCATCACAGCCTGGCCCAGTGATTATCATCGGCTGCTGGTGACCCCGGAGGTCCCGCTGCCCACATTGTGTGCAAGGTGGCAGGTCGTGTGGCTCCCGTTCCCTTTTCCGATCCAGCCTCAGCCTCCATCAGGAAGCCATGATTCTCCAGATGCCCTGTCCTTCCGGAAGCTTCCGACCCACATGCCACTGAGGGCCCTGCCTTCCTCTTTCTCCTTGCTTTCTTACTGTGATGCATCTTAACAGAATTTTAATTTTATTGGTAGCAGTAACACGTATAATTTTTTCATTAAAATTTTCAAATAAAACTAAAATATCCCCTGTCGAGTGTGCCTCATATGTGAGTGTATTGAATCCTTATTCCACTCCCACGGGTAACCCTGATGCTGTTCACGTGGTTCCTTTATCTGATCCCCTTCCATGCGCTAACATGTGTGGCCGTGTGCACTCACGATGGATACATGTACACACGCGTACGTGATTGTGTGTAGTTTTATAGATGTTTGCACAAGTGAACCCCCGCCCCGAGGAAGATTGTTTGTGACTCTATTTTCCTTAATGCCCCTTGGCCTCTGTTTTCATGTCAGCACACAGAGATCCTCGCTGTGTTCTAAAAACTGTTGCTTAGAATCCCAGAGCATGAATGTGCTCTATTTTATTTAATTATCTTTCAACTAAAGGGCATTTCGATGGTTTCTAATTCGTCATGAGTCTGTGTGGTGCTGCGGGAGTGGGCTTGGCTGTGCCTCTCCCCTCACGAGGGTTTCTCCAGGGTAGGTGCACGTGCACATCTATCCGTTAAGGTTTCTGCTGGGGACGGTGTCTCTGTCTCCTCCGCAGCTGTGACATGCAGCCCGCCCAAGAGCTGGTGGGGGAGCGTCCCAGGGTTGGGAAGCGGGCTCCTTCTGTGGAAGCCACAGGCCCGGTGGGAGGGGGGCATCTGGCACACCCTCTGCTGGGTTTTTTTTTGTCTCTGCTGGGGTCCGTCCCAGTCATGGGGTGGGACAGGCAGAAGCATGAAGGCACCGCTGGGTAGCTGCCCTTTGCACGGAAAGAAGGCGGGGCAGGCAGAGTGCTCTTGCAGGCCTGTGTGAGTCTGAGCCCCACAGGATGCCTGCTGTGGCGTTGGTCCCCAGGGCCAGGCCCCCTGGGGTGTGGGGGAGCACTGAGGTGCCCAGGATCCAACATATCAAGTGAGTATGGGCTGAATGCGCTCGCCCACTGGAGGCTGGGAAGGACTATGTCCAGCAGGGGTGGCCAACCTGGTGGTCAGTGCCCACTCCGGGGTGCTCTGCTGTGTGGACACAGAGTGGGGGCAGCACTAGGACCCTGAGAGCAGAAGGTAGCAGGCAGATCTAGAGTCCCTGTCCCTGCAGCCTGCTCTGTGTCTGCCCCACGGTGGGCTCCTGAGGATGGAGAAGCCCTGTGGATGGAGAGACCACAGACGGAACATTTTAGAGCATGTCGGTGACCAGCACGTTGTTTTGGAAAACCTACTGTTTCATTGTTATTCGTTTCAGAAGTGGGCAATAGATCTTAAGGTCTAATTCCAACTTTGAAATCCTTCACAGATGTTTGCTGGAGTCACTGTCTAAAATATAAATGGTTGAATTTTCATTGAACTTCTACCCCATGATTTCTTTGTTTCGCTGTTTCAGAGTTCTCATCCTTCCTTCTGCCCTTCTGTCTATCCTCAAATGAGCAGATGGCTCTTCTCTCATGAACTGACTGTTGGTGATGGACGCATTTGGATGGTAAATTCATAAAAGCCCATCAAAGGGAATTCTCCTCTTTTTTTTTTTTTTTCTTTTTCAGGACAAGTGTCCTCCGTTGCATGTCTGTCTACACCTGCTGAATGACCAGCAAATGTGGGGTGGAATTAATGGTCTTCATAACCTGTGGCCACACCTTTGAAAGGTCAGTTTTGAAGCAAAATGCTATTACAACCATGCAGTTGACTTTAGAAAGCGTAGTTATGGTGCCTGGCATGGCCCGTGTGCTTGTCTTATGACTTGATTCCACTGTCTGCTTGCAGTTCCTCCTTTAGGGAGACCAGCGAGGGCTTGGGGAGCAGAGATAATAAACTGGTGAGTTAGGAAGAGAAGGAGTGGCCTTCAGAAACCCCCCGGCCAAGCCAGCTGGTGGAAATGGCCGGACCCACACCCACCATCCTTTTTCCTATTCTCTCCCTCTGTCCAGGCTGAGCCCATGGCGGCCCTGACTTCAGCCTTGGCACGAGATGGGTTGTCTGAGCTCCCCGTGACCTTGGAAGTTAAACCACTGGATAATTCTGGGACATCCTGGAACATACACCTTGATACCAAAACCCCAAGGATGGTGAAGTATTTACTGCTTTAATCCAAGTTTCTTCCCGGTTGGCGTATTGTTCTCCTGAATCTTACTTGGGGATTCATGGAGTGTTCTGGAATTCTCCTCTGAGATTCAGTAGTTACCTAATACTTTTGCTCATGGGGATCATCATCAAATAACCCCGCAGGAAGACGGCGTGGCTTCCGTTGAGAGCTCTCCCATTTGCTGTGGACTGGCGTCCGAACGAGGTGAGGGACGCTGTGGCGTAGAGTCTCAGCCGTGGATTCTGTAACTGAGGAGGCAGGACCCGTGTGGGCCACATCCTGACCATGTGGGAGACCCCGGTGGACACCTGCACTCAGCTAGTCATTTAAAAACCGAACGCGGGCTTTGTAGAACACTGAAAATAATGTGAAGAGTGATTTTTTTTTTTTTTAATCACCTTTATGTGTGCTGAAAACCTAAAACCTCAGGGACTTACTGCTATGGATTCTTGGCCCCAGCTTCACCCAGAAGATGCCAAGGGCACACAGTTTCTCCCTTAAGTGGGGTTGCATAACATTGGAAGAGTACTGACGCACTATTTATTTTATTTATTAAGTGGCGACCACAAGCCAGGCGTGGGACCGGGCCAGGGATCCAGCATTCAGGGGCTGTGTGGGCAGGAACGTGAGGTGGGAACAACCTGTTTGTTGCTGTCGAGGACTTCTGAGTGCCCGATGCCCTGAGATAAGATTCAGCACGTCTGGTGCCTCGCATGGAGAGGTCACCCAGGACAGGTTGTCAGAGAAAGGACTAGTTCTGTGAGTTCTGAGTGTCCCGGGCAGCCCTGGAGTGGACATCCAGGGCTTGGCCCCAGCTCTGCCCCCGCCAGATGCCTGGGAAGGTGGGGCGTCTGCAGCTGAAGGAGCTGCCTGTCCCGTCCTCCTCACACCTGTCTCCCCATCTGAGATTGTGGCACCCGACTGGGCAGGGCCCCCAGGCTGCCCTCGGGGCACCTCGCACAATCCCACACACTGGGCAGCATGAAATGACAAAAGTCCATTTTCTCACAGCTCCAGAGGCTCCCAACAAGAGACCCCGGGGTCTTGCTCCCTCCAGACACTCAGGTGAGGACCCGTCCTGCCCCTCCCAGCTTCCGGTGGCCCCAGGTTTTCTTAGGGCTTGTGTGTCCATCATTCTAACCACTCCTCATGATCTCCCGGCCTTCTGCTCTGTGTTGGTGTCTCTTCGCCTCCATTTTTCGTAAAGACACTTGTCACTGGATATACGGCCCATCCAGAGGACGCAGACTGATCTCCTCATACCAAGATCCCTTGATTGGTTGCAACTGCAAAGACTTTCTTCCCAAATGAGGTCATGTTCACGGCCTCTGTGGATTAGGATGTGGACACACCTTTGGGAGCCGTTGTTCAACCCATGACAGGGCCTGACACTTAGTGCTTCGCGTCCCGGCACAGGGAGTCTGACACAAACCCACCATGAATGGGCCTGCATGGACAGGAAGCTCTGGCCCGTGGAGACCCACGGGGCCTGCAGCTTGGGGACGTCCTTGGGGTGGGGGCGGCAAGGAGAGAATGGCATGAAGCCTGGGTTTCTGGACGATGGCAGGAGGACGGTATAGGAGAGGCCGTAGGAAAGAGCCGTGGCCCGGGGCCCCATCAAGAACATCCAACCGGTGCACCAGGACGGCACACCCTGAGACCCGATGCCAACGTGTGAGAGTCACAAGTGATCATAGTAAAGAGGGTGAAACCACCAGATTTTCACATAGTCTCATTAAGGCTCCCCCAAGGGACAAGAGAGGAAAGTGGAGCTTTAACGTCCCTGTACTTGCTGTCACCATGTAGGGACCTCTTCTTCACGCTTCCGCAGTCAACAATGCCGTGAGCTCCTGGGGCTGCTCTCACGCGGGAATGTGGAAGTGTGTCCGAGCTATTCACAGCCTCTGGCCAAGTTGGGTGCTGTGGGATGCACTAGACTCCAATCAGAGCCAGAGCACAGAGGGCAACGGACGGTGACACATGTCCATTGTGTCCATTGACACCGTGTGGAGCTCGGCACATGGAACCAGGAGTGCACAGCTGGTGTTTGCTAGGTCGGACCCAGTGAAGGGCTGGGGACCTCCCTCCCATCTCCCAGCTCTGCCTTCATTCACGTTGTCCTGTTGTCAGGAAGGCTCTGTCCCCATGGCCCGAAGACACCCTTCTCCCACCCCCAGTCCCACTGCACCTTCACCGACCACTTTCCCCATGGAGAAGGGAGAACACTCTCCCCCGATGGCAGCAACCAGAGCCGCCGCAGTCAGCCAGCTGTCCCCCAGCCAGGACCTGGCACAGACACGGGGGGCTAAGTCAGGGCTGTTCTCCAGTGAAAGGTGAAATGGCAGAGTGCTCTGCCCTGCCCCGGGGTGCCGCTGGCGTCTCCCTGTGCCAGACGCGTACCCGGCTGTCCAAGTCTTTGCCGTCCAGACAGGGCCTCCGATTCCAGTGGACTCAGTTCTCCTTCTCGACCCTTCACGGAGCACTAGATCTCTGTTGCGACGTCGGTCGTCATCCACTCTTTACTGATCGGCAGAACTGTGATCGTATCCCTTCACGGACCAGCAACAACATACTGGACTCGCTCGGGCTCAAGCCGAACTGTCACTCTCATCCCATGGAAGAACCTGAGGGGTGCCGTTTGGGGTTGGTGAGGCGGGTCCATGCCGTCGTCCGTGCAGAGGCTCCTCCTCGTGCCCTGCTCCGTCCCTGCGGCCGCTTGGAGTTGCCTCACAGCTTCAACCTAGCTGCCGCTGCGCCAAGCATCACACTCTCACCCAAACGCATTCCAGCAGGGAGAAACACAGACCGAAGAAGAGGAATGTCCTTGTATCTGAGAGAGGGATCCTGTTCTGGAGTCCCCTGGCAGAGCTTTCCATACGGCCCCGTGACAGGTGTGGTCCACTGCCGTGCCAGATGCAGAGGAAGTTGGGGCATCGAGCCAGGAATGAGTCGTCCTGAGCAGCTGCGTGTCCCAGCCGTGGCTGGAGCTGGGCGTATTCCTCCCCACGGTGGCCCTTATGTCTGCTCTCACATTTCCAGACTCTGCCTCTGGGAACAGGATGGCACCTCTTACTTAAGGCTGGATGGGGCTCTGTGACTTCTGGAGCTGAGAAACATGAACAGAGGAACACGTGTCACTGTCCAGAGCACCTTCAAGGGCTGGCGTATGATTCAGGGTGCAGAGAGCAAGCTTCCTCCAGGCTGGACACCTGGGTTAGGAAGGTGAGCAGAGGTCCTGTGTTCTCCATAAGGGACATGCGATGTGAACGAGAAAGAAACCTTTCCTGTGTGGGTCACTGTGAGCCTGGAAGTGTGGGTGACCCGTCCACTCACCACCATCCCTGACTCAGAATTGCCAAGCTTCAGGACAACTCCACCCCCTTCAGCGGGGGCATTTTCCATTCTATTTTCTCCAGCGGAAGGTGCAGGACGTGCAAGCAAACCCAGCTCCCTTTCTGGTGGCATCTTAAATTGGGGGTACAACAGACTTTCCGGACGTTTGCCTCTTCAAGCTGAACTTGGCAGTAATTCAGTTTTATGAATTCTGACGTGAAGTCTGTCTCCAGATATGGACGAGCAGAGCTCGTAGAGAACGGAGAACAGGTGTGGCTGTGTGACACTAGGGACACCTCCTGGCTTAAGAGGTCCAAGAGTCCCCTTCTGACCAACATGGGACTCAGCCATTGGTGGGATGTAGCCGATGACTCATCGTTCACTTATTTGTTTTGAAAATGGGCAACCTCCTCCACAAGCACTTAAATGGGGAAAACGTATGTTTGGCTATTTAAGTCTTATTTTGCTAGCAATTTAGACTTTGGTGACTTTCTAAAAATACCAGGTGACGGTTGTGTCAAAACGAGAAACTTCGAGTGAGATCTGAGGGTCACCGCTTCTTCTCCAACTTCGTTTTCATCGATGCTGGATTTGGGGGGGTGTTTACTTTCTACGGGAAGGAGCGGCTGCTGGGACGGAGGCGCATTCACGGGCTGACAGCCAGAGGACGTCGGAGGTTTTGACAGGGTAGAGGGTACCCCTTCTGCACGAAGCCACACTCCTTCTTGACGCCTGTCTTGAAGGCGAGGCTGTGGCAAGACGGGCTGATGCCTCGGGCAGGATGTCAGTTGGGCATCGTCTCCCCTCCAATTACCCAGCAGCCGATAGAAAATACAATAAAATAAAATTTAAAATTTGACATGATTCACTAAGTTAGTCATCACAAGTTTGCATTGGATTCAATTTTGAAGCCATTGCCCAGCCCGCCCACGAGGAAGGAATTAACTGTGCTCTGGGATGCCACGGGGAGCATTCCTAGCTGCAGGGCAATCAGATGGCCCCGGCGGGCAGGACAGAACCCGCCAGGAGGGACCATCTCACTCCACCTTCCAGAGCTTCCAGATGTGTGCCCTGCTACAAGGTGAGAGGGAGATACTCTCAACGCCCATCACGTCCTGCCATTGGGTCCCAGTACTTGGTTTGTGAAGCCACGGTCATGCTTAATAGATGGGTGTCAGGGTCGAAGCCACTCTTGGAACCAGCCTCTTTCGGAACCAGACTTTCCAGGGGACACAGTGTAGAGCTGTGCACAGCGAGCGAGGTTCAGACTACCCAGAAGGGATTCACATAGTGAGCCAATAGTCAATTAATTTACTCAGCCGAGAATGCACCTAAGTGATAGCCTCATGTCTTGAAAGAGGCAGTGCCCAGAGCTGTCTGTTAGACTCCCCGGGCACCACTCATTGTTCCAAAAGCCCGTTTTCTGGACGACAGAGTGGTGGACTTAATGAATTACTGCCATTGATTTTTTTTTTTCCCTCTCGGTAAGAATAATGTAGGCATGTCTAAGAAAATATAGGAAATTATAAAAAGAAAAATAATCTATCATCACAGAATGTTCCAGTGGACAGTGTTGTCTGGACTCACTCCCAGGAGGTGGACTGGGGAGGATCATCTGGGTCAAATGGGGGCCTGGTTCTTTCCGGACGCCAGGCAACAACTGGTCATGCTCTTCTCCAGCTGGCTTCTCAGTGACCCCAAGTATGGCCCCGTGGCGTTCCCTTCTTCGGGGGAGTATCTCCAGAGCTTCAGGTCTTCAGGGGAAGAAGTGACAGCATCCACAGTCTAAAGGAGCAGAGGTTGCCCAGCGGGCATGGCCTCCCACCGGAGGCTTACCTGCCTTCAGAGGTCCGTCCATCCTGCATCTCGATAAGGTCAAGAAACCCTCGGAGCTCTGCCTGAAATTCAAACACAGCCCATGCTAACCTGACGTGTTCAACAGAAGGTGCCATTTCTCAAGGAACCTGCTGCTTAGTACCACTGACAACAGTTTTGGTGATGGTTTCCTCCAGGCACTGAGAAAGGGGAAAATAACTGAATGGGAAAGTTACTGTATGCTATTATCATTCAATTATCACTAGTGCTTTACTTTTTTTGGGATGTTCTACCTCATTTAATTCATCCGGACCACAGTGGGGGGGACACAGAATGCTACGGGCTGAGTGGGTGAGGAAAGGGGTTTCGTCCTGAGTGGGAGGTTGCAGGCAAACGATCAGGTGGAGGCTCAAACCCAGGTGGTTCTACTTCTTATTTTTTTTATTTTTTCATCAGAAATTTGATAAACCCTAAGATAAAGGATCTCTCGAAAATAAACCATCGGATTTGGCCTCCAGTGAGAAGATGCGAAAAGGTGTTTTATTTCAGCTTTCGGAGGACTGGCGACTTCCTATTCCGATTTGTTGTTACAAAAACACCAGAGAGGGACTCCTAGTCTCGCCTCTGGGTCTATGGTGCACATTCTCAGCCCTCTGTTAGGGCTCACGTGTGTCCTGAAGCCGGTCCCGTGGGATGGGAAGGGGCACTGAATCTCCCCACGTTGCTCCTTGGAGGACCTAGGAGGCAGGAGCCCCTCAGAGGCCGGTGGCCAAGAGGCCCAGAGGAAACGGCATCAAGAACCAAAACTGACGTCCTGGACCAGTGCGACAGGAGGGACGGAGTGCAGGTGGGGCAGTGTCCGTGTGTGCCCAACCCCTCTTGCAACACAGCAGAACCACCGTGATGTGGGGGTCACCTACGTTGGCCTCTCCTCCTGCCGCATCAGTAGCCTAGATGCTGCAGAAAAAGCTATTTATGGGAACGAATTTCTCCTTTGAAATGTGGGCCCAGACAACGGATCAGTGTCTCTCCCACTGCCAGTTGGAGGACTGTCTAATGCCTGTTTGGCGAAATTTGATCTTGGAGTTGATGATGAAGCGGTAACAAGGAAAATTCTATTAATTTACGTACGGAGAGCTACGTGGTGCAGGCGCAGGACATGAGACCTTCTCCAGCACGTGGCCTTCTTGGAGGAGAGTGGGATAAGCCAGTGTGGGCAGGCTTTGGGAGAACTGCCCTCAGGTGTGAGAGTTACGGTTTGAGATGCACAGGCCCACAAGGGTCCCTGTCATACCGGGTCACGGACAACTGAGCCACGACAACCGTGAGGGTGACAGGCTGTCTGTTTTGCTCAAGACTTTCCATGTTTTCCCATTGGACGTCTTGAGTCTTGAGAGCTCCCTCCTTCCTGGGAAAAGGAGGCTGCTGGTCATGCCTTGTATCCTGCCAAGTGTGGACAAGTCCTTAAAATCTTTCTGGGGAAGTGTGGTTTCTTTGTTTGCTTGTCTGGTTGGTGGATTGCAAATGAATGCTCAGGAGATAATTAGCCTCTTACATCCCATAAACTGATGGCACCTACCCAGAACTCTGGCTTCGGGCCTGGGGGCGGGGATCTGCCCGAGGGAGGTCTCAGTGCAGCACCTGGCGGGGGGAGGTGTGGTGGGAGGTCGGAGGGAGGGGGTTCCGGCAAGGTGGCCACTCCAATCGAAGGTTTAAATGCAGGTTCAGCAGCAGCCCAAGGGGAGACCGTGAGCAGAAAAGAAGCATGCGGTGTGGCCCACAGTGCCACTAGCTCATCTCAGTCCCAGGCGTCTGAGTCATGGAGCAGAGGGCCGAGCCGGCCGGGAGACACGTCCTAGGTGTGTTTACAGAGAGCCTGAGAACATTCTGTCTTCAAGCAAATGCTCTTCAGAGTCCTCAGAGTTCGTTAGAGAGGGGGAGAGGATTAAATAAGTTCCTCTGAGATCTGAAGTGTCCAGGAGCAGGATCCCGGTTTGGCTCTGTTTTGTCAGTGTTGAGCGATGTCTTTGATGTCTAGCGCGCGCTGATCGTCTCGCCTTCCTGATGCAGGTTCTCTGCTAGAAGTCGACAAGGGACAGTAAACGAACAGTGGGGCTTTAATTGCATATAATTACTCGGTGTGCCAAAGTATTTTACAATTGAGATAATTTGCCTGAAAGTGTGGGTATTTAGTGAATAGAATTTATGGTAATTCCCTTATTTTCCCCCAACTGCCTAGTAATCTTTATAACAAGGAAGTGGAAGGACAATAAGAATCCCGAATTGAAACAAAGCCATACATAAAAGTGCTTAAAATGTATCTGTTTGTCTTTGTTTCAGTAGGAATCCACAACAAAGTTAATCGGACCAACAAGGATCAATAGAAAAGTGACTGAAGATTCGCGTTTCTTTGAAGCGGGTAGAGGCAAGGAAATAATCCTTGCAAACAATGGAGGCCTTTAATTCACGGCTGCGGCACTGAGAGCCATTGTGAAGTGGGATTTGCTGGGTTTCAGGTTTTAATTTGAACTGTACAAGCAGGTGCAGCGAGGAGGCCGAGCCCCTGCTCCTACACTCCTGCCACGCCCTGCAAGTCAACCTCCCTGGTAATCCTGCGCTGGGTAATGGAGACGCCTGCCTTCTGTTCTGTTTTGTTTTAAGCGGCTACGATGAACGCAATTCCTATGCACTCTGTCTTTTTCACTTGGGTCCGTCCTCAGCTACTTCTCTAACCAGGGAAATGGGAACAAGGGAAGGAGGAGAACCAGGGGAGGCAAGCTCAGCTTCAAACCCGGAAAACAAAACTTCACTAAAAAATATTCTCATTTAACCATAATAGGATGTAGACTGAAACATTCTCAGAGCCACTGGGGCAGAAAATGCTTCTGAAGTGAAGGGAGCTGGCTTTCCCATCAGCCACCACCCAAGCCATGGGACCATTAGGAGAAGTCCCCCTGCCCTTTATGTTGTGTGGGTATTTTCCCTCCCAGACTCAGACACACTGTCCATTGTAATTCTTGACTGTAGATGATGGATAACGAGGAGAGAACTGAGAGCCTGTGGCTTGGTCAGGGTATCACACGGTGGGGGCACTGTGTGCGGCCGACGGGAGACACTTAAGAGTAGGGGATGTGACCAAATGCAGGCTCTCTCAGGTCCGGAACTTCATCGCAACCAAGCTTCAGAGATGCTGCCCGGAGTCAGACGCAGGTGCTTCTGGGCATGTAGACTGTGCTCAGGAGCTCAGAGCACAGAACACAGCAAGGGCCACACGAGAGGTGCAGCGCTGTGAGCTGCCCCTAGGCTCTGCTGTCTCCCCTTATCTGGAGCCTATCGGGACATGGGCTTAGAGCTGCTCTGGCGGGATGGTGTGCGGTCTGACGTGCCAGCGACCGTCAAGGACAAGCTGGACAGCCACGTGCAGAGGTTCCGAGGACCTGGGAGCGGAGGGGTCATGGGGGTCGGCCGGCAGCTTTGGTCCTGGGAGCCGTGAAGCCAGTGTAATGGGAGTGGAGGTTCTGGGTGGTGCAGGACACACGTGCAGGGCTGAGGAATTCGCCCAACATCCTGCGGGCTGTAAGGTGCTCGGAGGGCCACCTCAGCTGGGAGCAAGGTGGTGAACTGGATGTGTGGCTCAGCAGAGGAAGGGCCGGGGAGGTGGGGGAAGGGTTCTGCTGGGACATTCCAGGGCCGATCAGACCCAAATTCTCCTTTGTCTTTGCATACCTTCCTGAATTTGGGCAGATTATGTATATCTCCTCTGAATCATAACTTTATTATTTAAAATGGAAATAAAAAATAACCTTCTTTCCAGTTCTGAGAAATGAGTGAAATACTACATGGAAACTGGTTACCCATTGTGCCTTCGGATGCTCACCTAGCAACAGTGTCTTTTCTTCTCTTATTGCTTGTGCTACCAGTGGGCACACTCAGCTTGGGAAACCTCAGCAGAAACATGGCGGTGGGTACGTCTGGACGGTCAAGGATCCGTGAGATAGGAGGCCGTTAGCCATCAAGGTCTTCGTCTGTCTCATTTTTCCCGGCATGGTCTAGGAGGGCGCTTCGTTTTCCAAGCATGAATCAGCTCTGTGGCGTTGCTGCCATGTGGGGTTTCTCCTGCTCCGATGACTTTGCAGCTAAGCCTGGCGCTGCAGAATGGTCCCTGGGTGGGCCTTTGAGCTCTTTTATCAACTCCACCAAGGTCTAAGTGGGGTTTGCCAGCCCATCATCCCAATGTCTCCCTCGGATTCTTATGTCTCCTGGTAGCTCCTCCAACAGCCTGTGTCTTTCCAGCCTCCCATGTTAAGAATTAAAGTCAGTGGCATGTTGCTCCACTTTTCCTGAACCGTTAGAATTCATACTTGTCACAACTCCCTTGGTCACCCTTGTTTGCAGAATGACCCTAAAAAACTCTTCCTTTGGGGCTTTTATCATTTTTTTAATTTCTTTTTTTAACTAAAATTCAATTAGCCAACATACTTAGTTTCCGATGTAGAGTTCAAGAATTCATCAGTTGCATAGAAGACCCAGTGCTCGTCACATCACGTGCCTTCCTTCATTCCCATCACCCAACTCCCTGGGGTAGTTGGGTGATGGGGCTTTTACCGTTGTTGGGATCACACCAGACTCTTTCCTCCGAGGCACCTCTGGGCTGAACGGTCATCTACTTTATGGAGTCCTCGCAGGATTCTCCTGGGGAAGGCAGGTCCTTCTCAGCAGGGCCTCCCTGGGTTCCTTGAAGAGCCCGTGGACCCGACGCCAGGGTTCTCCTGCCGCACGCAGTCACCCGACCTTTCATTAAACTGTTTCATCTTCCTTTCTTTACAATTGTCTCCGCCATTTTCTATTCTCATTTGAGGCTAATGAGACATGGTTAGTACCATGATTTCCCTTTAAATGGGAGATGTTTTGTGGGGTCAACCCTGCCTCTGGGGCTCACGCAGGCAGGCCTTCGCCTTGGCCCTCAGGGGGCTTGCATTCCACCCTCTCTCTGCACCTCATGCGCCATCTGGGGTTCCTGGGAAGACTTCTGTTTCTTTCTAAGGGTTTTTTTTTTTTTTTTTTTTTTTTGGTTTGTTTGTTTTTTAAACTTTCCCTCTTCAGTCAGCTGTTAAACATTTCCTAGATTTAAGTCTGCCCTTTTGAAACTGTTTCTGTGTTACCTCAACAGGAACCCCCAAGTGCTTAAAATATCCAATCTGATCGTGCGCTGGCTGCTGATCCTGGCAGGACCCCATCGGTCTTGTGTACCTCCTGGGTCAGAGGGTCTGAACACCCCTTGAACAGTACATTATGCATTAGATTCTCCTACTAGTCAGAATAATGGGTGGTTTTCTTAGTGCTCTTGAGAACACAGTAGTGGATTCCTGCCAGAGTGGCTGATGATCAACCAGGAAAATGCATGGAAAGGGCTGTAGTGTCCCCCCGCCCCGCTCCCGCCCTTGCTTTTTCTCCAGGTGCCGCGTTCCTCAGCTAATGGACTGGAGGGTGTAAAGAGAGCCGGGCTGTCTGCGTACGGGCCCTGGAACCGTCCCCCGATTCCCCGAGCCCTGGCATGTCGGGCAGCCAGCCTGAGTGGCTAGGGGGCTTAGACCCCACAGGCAGCTCTGCTGTTCGGCGATACAGGTGTTCTCCCAACCACAAGGGGCTGTATCAGGGCCGGAGAGCAGAGGTCGCATCTCGGTTCCAGGCCTGGCTTCGGAGCCTCATGCTGGGCTGTGTGAGCGGCCTGGCCGAAGGAGGACCCTGGGCTGTGGGTCCATCCCTGCCTGCTGGCGGCACGACTCCAACTTTCTGTCCAGAGCAAATGAAAGACTTAACCTTTCCCCCAATCCACTTAACTTGGGTGCAAGAAGCCCGAGTCCTTTGGAGAACATAGGACTGAATATAGGGAGGGTCAGTAGTTAACCTCGATCCCACATTCCGCCCCGCCAGCTGGGGCGTTTTGCTCCGAGCTCTCCCTGGCTTTATCGCTCGGCATGAAAGTCCGCCTAGTGCCTTTATCCTTGTCCATAAAGGGTACAGAAGGCCCCACCGCCTCTCTTCTCTGCAGCGACGTGCCTCGTGGAGTTGCTTGGGACGTCCGCTTCGGCCAGCACGCAGGTCACACTGTGGTCCCAGCGCAAGGACCGCCAGCTTTGGGGACGCAAAGCATTCAATGTCCTTAACACCATGCCCAGAATCACATCATGGGTTTGTGAGTTTCACTGATTTTTCACATTTACTAGAAACATGACTTTTGACGTTTCTTTTTTTAATTTATTTATTACAATTTTTTTAGCAGATGGTTACAACTCGACAGTATTACTTTCAGAAGGTGGTAGTTAGCTTCAGCAAAGGCGAGGGTGCCATCAGGACGCAGAGGCTCACCCCAGTCTGCACGGGACGGACGGCCCCTCAGCCACGTATGTCGGGAGTGAGATGGCCGCGTGTTCTGCCGGCCACAAGCTCTCCGGGCTGCATTTGCCTCCGGATTGCAGCTTGTGTGGACAGTGGTACGTGGGAGTCTTTCTTCAGAAACGTTCAGGGGTTGTATACGTAATCACCCAAAGTCTCTATCTTCCTCCCCCAATAACGGCATCTACTTTTCTAGCCAAACGACAACTGCAAACATTCTTTATAGACTACGTCTGGGCTGGACAGGGCTGGCTACATCATTTGCAGGACTCACTGGAAAATGGCATTGCAAGGGCTTTTGTTCAGAAATTATTAAGAATCTCAAGATGATAGAGGTTAGTGTAAGCCGTGCATGAAGCCCTCTTGAGGTGGGGTCGTGTGCAAATGCAGGCATGCGTATCCGTGATGCTGGTCACCGTCAGGGCAAAGCTGACAGACCCCCCTCAACCAGGATCCCCTGTCCCCTCCACGGTCCTAATGCCAGTGTGGGTTTGCTCCTTTCCTGAGTACAAGCTAATGCTTCCAAGAAGGTCTGCCTGCGGTGCCTGTATCCCCGTCCCCAATTCGGAAGCCCAGCCTTCCCACCCTCTCTCCCATCACCACAAAGAGACTAAATGCCAAATTAAGAAGAATTGTTCTGGGATTTTTAACCCCCTGGGAACTCTGTGGGCGTGTTTAGATGACTTCTTAAATTTTAAATGCTGGACTCAAGGAAATGGGCTGGTCAGACATGTAGACAGAGAGGAATTGGTACAACGCTGTACCAGGATTTAGCTGGACGGATCGATGATCCCCCAAGCTTTGTTGGCTATGCCCTTGTGTTTCTCTTCTGCTGAGTGCTTATGGACCCTTATTATAGACACTCTATAGACCTTATTACATAAGGTCTAAAATAGACCTTATTATAGACACATTCCAATTAAGGAATGATACAAATCCTGGTTAAATGTTCATAAAGCTGGGGGGCGTCCGGGTGGCTCAGTCAGTGAAGCATCTGCCTTTGGCACAGGTCATGATCTCGGGGTCCTGGGATTGAGCCCCACATGGGGCTCCCTGCTCAGTGGGGAGCCTGCTTGTCCCTGTGCCTCTGCTTTGCTTTTGTTTTCTCTCTCTCTCTCTCTCTCTCTCACACACACACACACTCACTCTCACTCACTCTCTCTCCGTCACTCTCTCAAATGAAATCTTAAAAAAAAAAAAAATGTTCTCAAGGCAGCAGGAAGTTTCCTGGCCACTTTCCCAGTTATGTCCCAGCCCCCACTGGACCACTCTGCGGCACAGCAGGAGAGCCATGAGCATGTGGCCCCTGGAGCTGGACTGTACCCGGCTTCCCTCCACGGGAGCTTACTTTGCCAAGGTCCTCATCCTGGCCCTGCCCCATCTGCCTCACCTGTGAAATGGGCTTAATGCGGAGTCCTGCTCTGTCGGGCTGGCATGAGAAGGACGTGTGCCGGTACTGCAGGAGAACATCTACCCCACGACGGGCTCGAGAACGTTGCTACTTTTGCTGTTATACCGAGTGGATGCCCACACATTCCCAGGCCTGCTGGACGGGAACAAGTACGTGCTGGCCTACATGAAAAGGGAAAACTTTCTTTAGGAAAGACTAAACCCATCCTGCCTTCAGATCAGACACGGAAGCAGCAGGTTCCTTTGGAAACGGGAATGACAGGAGGAAATGCAGATGAAATAAGACAATTAATATGGAAAATTATGGGAGAACATTGGGCCACAGGCTGTGAGATGCTGGCAGGTCTCAGTGGGGGAGGCACCCCTCCTTTGGCTCGCTGAGGCTGGTCTGGGGCTTCTCATCTTAGTTTGCAGGTTTTCTGCCCAAACCTCACATCCTCCACTGTCCCTCGCCCACCAGGGCTGTGGCCAGAGGGGTCCAGTGGAGTCCCTCACGAGGCATTTTACTAATAACACCTTCTCCTGGGCTGGGTCCTTTTGCTCTGTTTTCAGGAAGTTAATTCCAGATAAATACCTTATCTGGTACCCGGATAAATACAAACAAGACTTACACCGAGATTTTGTGCCATTCAGCGCATCTGATTTTGGCTCTGCAAGTTTAAGAAGCTGCCTTCCCAACTGCTTTCCAGAACTTGCGTGAGCGCCCAAAGCTAGTCCTCTGTCCCTGTAGCCTTCATGTGTCCTTCTGGCCTGTTGTGTCCGCTCCTTGTTTTTGGGCTTGAGTTCCAATAATTAAGTCCTTGAGAAGGGGACACAGTCATCCAGGGTTCCGGATCATTCCGCCGAGGAGAACAGAGGGACTGGTAGCAGCTCTGCGGCTAGGGTTCAGGGACTCCCCTGGCTGGAATGTTCCGAAGACTGTCCAGGACTGCAAAGACCAGTTGCCTCTGCACTTGCCAACTTCCTAAAGACAGACTCCCAGGCTGTCTGTCTCCGCCGGC